ACACCGCCTGCCTGCCCGAGAGACCATCCGTCCGCACCACAGGCACACCAATGTAAAATAACTCAATCAACAGGTATGGCAACCGAAATTTGGCGGGAAATCGCATAGCCACCGGCATCTTGTAAAGCAGAGACAACAAAAGAGTCAGTAAAGACAAAAACGGAAAGCGGAAATTTGTTCTGTATCCGTGTTCATCCGCGTTGTCTAAAGTATTAAGTTTAGATAAATTGTCATGTCCACAAATTTGGAATAAAGAGCAAGAGAAGAACAGAAAAAGGGAAAGTGGGCGGCAGGCCAGCGAAGCTCAATGAGAAAAAGGGCGACGGAGATTTTAAAAAAAATTTGTAGTGGTGGTAACAAAATGAGAAATGCTAGCGGCCACAAATAATGCAAGGTGAAAAAGAGCGGCAGTGGAAAAAAGTGAATGAGAACATTTACGACATTTCCTCCATACAACGTGTAACTAAGAAGTTTCTGGAAGTTTTACGTTGTAGTTGTGCAAAATAACAGCAGAGAAATGTACGTAAAAAGGGTGCTGCACGTGGAAACTGGCTTTTTTGCTAATTAGCCCTATTGTTGTTTTTCACCATTCTCCTGCGTTGCATGCCTTCGCCGTTTAGCATTACTATACAGTATTTTATATTTTATTTGAACAAACTATAAATATTATCGAGAGCTTCACTTTTAGCCCTGGCTAAATCTATATATTAATTTACGTGGTGATGCTATTTTAAAATTACCTAAAGTAAATTCAACAAAGTATGGGATCAAGTCATGGAGATACCAGGCTGCCCGACTATGGAACACTATTCCAAATAATAATATTTAAGAAATATTGATGGTTACCGCAGTTTTAAACGTGGACTCACTCTTAGTATTTAGGTATCATATAGTTTTTATGTACATAGTTTCCATGTACTATGTCATTTTAAACAATTTTATATAGTTGTATGTTTATTGACCCTTGTTCGCAATTTAACCTGGTTTTCTTAGTACATAAGTTTTAATAATTTTTTAATTTTACATATCGTTTTAAACACTTCCATATAGTTTTTAGGCTTGTTTTTAGTTTTGTGACTGACCTGTAAACTAGCTTTATAGCTAAGTGTTAGTCACGTTAATAAAGTATGTATGTATGTACCATTACATGTGAACGTTTACTTACTACAGGAGAGGAAGAGTTTAGCACCAAAGTATCAAAGTACAACAACATCTGTCACGTACTTTTTGTACTTGAACAGATACTGAGAGATGCATCCATAAATCCGTCCTTGAAAACAGGTACATTCAAAATTAGAATGTATTTCTAGCAACAAAGAATTGACTTAAGGATCTCTCTGATTAAGTAAATCAGAGTTTGTGAGGAGCTCCATTTGACTTCGTGAAATAGTTTAAGTGTTTTAATTATCCTAGTGCATTAGGAAACAAATGCCTTATAGTAAAACATGTCCAGATTATTTTACATTGTTAAATTACGCACTAAAAAGGACAAATGTGTTTAGCAAAATCTAGGGGCAACAGGCAGAGTGATACTAGACACCTTAACCTTAATGCTGGGATGATGACTTTTTAAACTTAACAGTAGTTTATACATATTTCTGACAAAATTAGTTGCCTGATACTGTAATTTTTAACCTTTTCCTCATAATTTTACTTCCTCTGTATATATTATCTTTTTTTCTTTGTGCAGTTCAGGAAATCCACCACCAACTCAACAGTGCACTTCTTCACATATCTCAAGCCTTTCCAGTGTTTTCTCATTTCCTGTGGAGATTGCAAGTTTTTCTTATTCAACTTTGTCCTATTTCTAAGCCTCTGAAATAAGGCCAGAATACATATGAACTGAACCAACAGTTTGAGATCCTATTATGGAGGAATCTTGTTTCAAACTGTAAGCTAAAGTATTTATGAAGACTTTTTTAAAATAAATTAAATGTATAAAAAGGTTTCCATGCCATGTCTTGTATTACTGGTGACTGGATAAGTTCATGGAAATGCGCATAACCGTGGGACTTGCTTTCTGCACCAAAGAATTCTTTTACATCCACCACTATTTAGCAAGGTGTAGCTATGTGTAGCAGTGCGTTCACAACTGCAAGGATCATTCTTCTTCATTGGGAAAACGTACACTAATGATAATCTGTTATTCTTCACAAAACTAACGGATAGCTAACGTTTTTTCTAACACTTTAACATTTTGCCCAAACGCTCTAACAGTTTGTCGAAACCCTCTAACGATTTTGTCTAAACACTTAAGCGATTTCATCTAACACTCTAACGGATTATTTTTATGATCTAACGGTTGGTCCATCTAACGTTTTACTTTTACTTGAAAGATGATTGTGAAAATTACTAGTGATCAAATCGACGGAAGTCTTATAGACTTTCGGGCAAATCAATCGCAATTGTCAACAGGTCGACCCGTGTTTCTCTGGGAAAGAATCCAGAAGTAAAACATTGATGGAGAGAAACACTCTAAGTAAACTGTTCCTTTCAAGTGCATTTATCTGAACAGGAAAGTCAAATTTATCTCCATTATGTGCAATTAGTACAATCCTGGCTGAGTGAGAGTAGTGTTCAAGATAGGTGCAAAAATCTGTTAGACCCCGTGTCTGTGATTTGGCTGCCAATTCAGTCCCCCTCCCTATCAACGTTTTTCGGCCATTTCAGTGCTCGAACTTAACTTTTAGCTCTGGTCTTCCACTGGACCAGTAGGCTAAGAATTTACTGGTCCCAGGAGCAAAGTTACTGGTCACCCTTTACATTTTTTTTTGCACGTATTTAATTTGTGTGTGTAGGTAAAAACATGTAAATGCCACACTATGATCAAATAAACACAACAATTTACATGTATCTTTTTAGTGATACATAGCAACAATGATAAGTGTATTACAATTATAATTCTTCCCAGTTACAGGCCATAGTTGCAACATAAATAGAATAGCAGCAGTTTTATCAACTTCATTGCTGTCTTAGGCTTAAGTTAGGTCATCAATCCTTTAAGCAAGGCCTTCGCATTCTTTGTGATGCCTGGTTCCAATGCAAAATTGCCCTTTCAGCTGTAAAGTCCTCGGGACTTGAACCATTGAGGCAGATGTTCATGAGCATGTCAACAGTTTCAACATCAAGTGAGTTTCGATACTCTGATTTGAGTCGCCCCATACAAGAGAATCCCCTTTCACAGCAAGATGAGGACACTGCCATTGCCAGACAAATCTCAACCACCATCAAC